TCCTTACAGGAAGGCAGAGGACAGCCCCAAGTCCTAGGGGCTGTAGATGAGTAGGAAACTCTTAACTTGTGACTGAAGGTGCTGTATGTTGGGTGGTCAACTTCAGCAGTTATTAAATTAAGGTCTGCAAAGTTACTACTGCTTCCCTTAGAAAGCAACCATGAAGGAGCACTGCTACATGGTGCTCACGCAAAGCCTGATCCCTCACATGGCCCAGGAGGCAGAGCCACATCATCTTGTGCCTTCTGTGCTTAAATAAATCTACCCCTAAGTACCTCTGGTATTCATTTGAGTCTAGATTCTGCAACCGGAGAGAGAAAACATAACGTTAGCTTACCAGCATCTGCTCAAAAAGTGCCAGCACATCCTCATCCGGTATTTCCTGAAGTGTCCGTTCTGAAGTAGGGATCTCCAAATAGGCAGAGGAATTCCTATTAGCCGCATTGGGCTTTTCCTTTTCCTTCTTCCTGATACTAGTGAAACGCTCCAACTGGTGTGAGAAAGAAAGCAAAAAATACATAAATCAGCAATCGCTCATGACCTACGTGTTGTCCCCAGCGTCACACCAGGATCCCGCCTGCACTCCTGCAGTGGGTTAGCAGCGGTGGAGAAAGTTTAACTCCACACTTCAAGAGTCCACAACCTACTGCGTGTTAGTAAGGAAGCTTTGGAAATCGTAGGTTAGAGAGGATGTAAGTTCAGCATCTCCTTTGGAAAAGGCCAAATCCTGGCCAAATCCAAACCTTTTCACAGAGCCAAATGTTCGGTTCATGCTAGCGCTAAGACCGCTAAGAAAACAACGAGCAGAAGCAAACGCATGCAGGGAGCAAAACCAAAAGACACCACCATCCTTACTTCATCTGCCATGAGCCGCTTCAACGTCTGCGAGACAAGGGGGGAGAGAGGGGAAAAAACACATCAGTGACACGAAACATTTCAGACACAAGACAGGACAAGTGTGCAGTGGGGAAGAGCACACAGCGATGCATAAACACAGTGATTTTCCCCATCCTCTTAGCCCAAAGAATGGTCGGAAACGCTGAGCTGCTCCATGTGGCATACGTCCCTCCAACGTCAACGTTGCAGGGAACCAAGGCCGGTGACAGCAGTTACAGTGATAGATGAAGAACCTCTGCCCCTCTCCTCAGGGCAGGCAGGAAGCTTGTCCCACACTAGAGCTCAGCCCAGTGGATTGAGCCGCCTCTCGTTGAGCCAGAGACGAGGTTGAACCTTTCCCAGAGGCAGGAGACGCGTCGCGGCGACGCGCTCCCCTCACGACTTGGTGCGTTGCCACAAGCGCGGCCGAACCCCGGCGCCCCCCAGGCGCTCTGCTCGGGGCGCACCCTGCTCCCCTCGTCGCTGCTCTTAAAAGCTGCTGTGTTTCCTACGGATAAAATTCCAGCAGAGGGCAGACAGCAGCCGCGTGAGGGGAGCACGGAGCCGCCTATTGGCCTCTCTGAGGGGAATCCAGTGCCCGTGTGAGGAACGGGAGCCCTCCCGGCACACGGACCCTGCGGGCGGCAGGCAACCCATCGCGGGGTGCAGGCCCCCAGGCCCCCAGAAATGCCCGGAAATGTTAAGATATTAGAAGGATGTTTGTTTGTATTGTTTCTGTTATTGTGGTTTTGAGAGGGGATTTTTTTTTTTAGGTTGCACAACAGAATAGAGACCAAAGTTCCCTTTACCCAGTGCTATCTGGGAGCCCTGAAATACACTGAAATTCTACAGCTACTTTTTTTTTTTTTTTTTTTTCAATTTACTGAGGAAACAAGTCAGAAGGTCAGTACTATCATTTCAATAAAATATCCTCAAATGCACAACCCAAATACAAGAAGCTTGAAGAGCCCCACAGAGAGCCTGGAAGCAACCAAGAGCCATCCCCTACCCTCCACCTCGGCGCCACGGCGGGATTAGACAAAAATGTCAAAACGTCAGGAAAATGCAGGAATCAGGACAGGGAACCCCCAGCACATTTTAAGTGTTTGCCCATTATTTCACCCCTATACCACCCATACATCCACATTATCCACATACCCCACACACCATCCAATGCAAGGAGAGAAACCCTGGATCCCAACGACCCCAGATAGACACTGAGGTCCATCACAGACGTGGCCACCTGAAGGACACTCAGGAAAATGGGGGAAACCCCCCTCCTTAGAAGTCATGGGGATGTAAAACTCCTGTCGTTCTTCTCATTCTTTAAACACTCTTCAGGTTTCACTGCTGACTCACAACCAAGCAGGGGGATTGAAGGGTCAGGAGGTGGGAATGAAGGGAATTTAAGAACACCAGAATACATTAATGCTTGTTTAGACCATGGGTGTATGGGATCTGTCTGTTTTGGACAAGAGGATACAGAGCCACTCGTGCCAGTTACGAGCCATGAGCTCCACGCAGCCTTCCTCCCCCAGAGGAAATACCAGCAGCAAACAGAGTAACTTGAGCACTTAAAAACAAAATAAAATATTTTTTTAAAAGCATGATAACAGTTCAACCTGAGTTTTGCAAGACCTTCTGGAAGATAAATGGGGCTATGTTTCTCTCTAACCAAGTTTTTCAGACAATCCCTTTGTATTTCTGTGTTTGGGAGAAACGAAAAAGAAACTTGGCCCGCAAAATTCTCACAGCAGGGCCCCTGAAGTGATTCTGTCCTAAAGACCCAAAGGTTCGAGGTGAGGATGTAGAAGTAGAGGTGATGTGACATATCCTGCTACTTTGAGAAATGTGAAGTTAAAATCCTAAGTCTCAAGGGGAAAGTCAAGATGGGAAGAGTCAATCATGCAGTGAGGGAACCAAGCAAGTAGCCGGCATGTTGAAAGTGTTGCTGCACTCCCAATCCGTTGAGTTCGATGCAAGGATGCTCAAGTTGGCCTTGCACGGAGACTCCACAGCTTCAAGAGAACACCACATCATCCATCTTACTCAAAAAGTTGAAATGAGGTAGCAACCTATGAGGTAATATGAGGTATATATATGAGGCTACCTCATTTCATGAGGTAATACCTCATAAACACCTAAGGTAGCAACTCAACTGCCAGCCTGGATACAAAGAAATACAAGAAAATCTGCCCCTCTTCCAAGATGGACTGGGTGTCTATTCCCATGTTGAAGCAAAGTGTCTTGCACTTCCAATTATATCTCACTGCTATATTATATTATTTGGAGATGGAACTATTTGCCAGGACAAAGTAATTTGCTCTATATCTGAAATGTCATTTGTGCTTCTTAGCTAGGCTGCTCAGTTTTCTTTGATAGAGATTCTCATTCTTGACTAGTTGATGAAGAACTGTGTAATAAACTCTGTGGTGCCAAGAGGGTGTATTTGCATAGTGCCCCAGCAGTTTGGCAGCTCACATGGTTTCTCCAACAAAGATTTTGAGGCTTTCCACAGAAAACTTTAAAACCTTACAGAAACACAGTAGCTTTCCATCAGTAAGAAATGACTGACACAGTAGCTTCAATTCAAATCAAAATATTGCCCTTTTTGAAACAGCTTGAAAGGTTTCAGATCAAATTCCATGAGAAAAAAAAAAGGATTTTTTCCTCAAATCACCACAGATACCTTAACAAAATTAGTTTTCACTCAAATTGTAATTATGGCTACACAGACATGGAGGGGATATTCAACTTCAGGAAACAAGGAATGAAGTTTGAAGCAAAAAGCTAAATAAGGAAAAGTATCAGTGATAAAATTAGTTCACGATTACAAAATTACCTGGAACGGATCCATGCGGGGACCAGCCTACTTTGATTTTCCATGAGCAAAGGAGGATAGTCTGTATTAAAATGAGTTTGTCCTAACTAATTAGGATGAAAAGCTGATTTTTCCCACACAGCAGAAGCCCAACTGGGGTGGCCTGATGTCTCATCCCTAGGAAGGCAGATGAGCAGCTCCCTGTGTCTCATCCTCCCCGAAACGCCCATCCACGAGACCGTCAAGCCCCTGCATCCCAGCACACTGAGGCAGGCACGAGCAGCTCCTTTTCCACAGATTGTGACTCGGGGCTGTCCTCAGCACCCGCTGCTTGCGTTGCTTCCCTGCGAGCCCTAACATACGTTCTTAAGAGAAGGGTCGTGTCCCTGGTTTTCCTGATCCGCGGCCTAAGGGGAATTAGGAAATTAAGAACAGAAAGTTACAGCTGCACCATTGGCAAGTGCTCGGCCTGAGTCATCCCTTTCGACTCCAGAGGAGCAGCATGGGAAGACGTGGGGAGGAGGAGGAGGGATCCTTTAGTGCATGGATTAATGCAGCATGAGGCGCTGCAGATCCTCTGCGAGCCCTTCTCTCCTCCTCCCTCCAGTCACTACTACCAACCACTAATTAAAAGTTAAGTTTGCAGAACGGTACAAAAAAAAAAAAAATCTTTCGAGCAGACCGAAATCCAAAGACATTTTTGGCCACGATACTTTTCTGCTCATCTCCCTTCCACTTTTCTAGACCTGCCTCAGCTTTCTGCTCTTTTGCTCAGGCTTCCAAATCAGAGGCATGTTGAGTCCTAGTTTAAAACAACAAACCAAAAATGCACTCGGCTTTTAGGAGCTGGAGCAAAGAAGAAAATCCAAAATGCCCGACACTTTGCACGGGCGCAAGGAGCACCCGGGTACATCAGTGCGATCTTGCTCATCATGCACCATGGGAATGGCTTGGGCAGCTTCAATCCCGCCGCTCACGGACCTGCTCGGAGCAGCCGCCCGCTCCCACGGGCACCCGCGAAAGGGCAGCCGAGGACGCGGACACGAGGACCGGCTCCAGCTCCGGGCTCTTGCAGAATTCCCCAATTAGTGAACAGAGCGCCATTCAGGGGAGATTTCCATGTCCCCGGGGGAAGCATTAGCCCCCTTCCACGGAGGATATTAAGCAGCTCGCGCTGGAGCAAACGGCCGACGCTCTAAGCCAGCAGGAACACGGCAGCTCGCGCTTTGCTAGCGAAGCGAGGACGCAAAGGGACGCTGCCATCCCGGGCAGGGAGTGCTCTCCCAAGACAGCAACAGCCCCAGGGGCACCTGCAGGAGAAGCAACTCCTGCAACCGCCCTTTCCTTTTCAGGCTGAGGGACCCAGCGCAGGCAGGAGGCTGCAGAGAGGAAGGGAACCAGAAAGGCAAACACGAAGCCTCCAAGGCGAACACAGGCCACCTCTTCCCACGTGCCACCACCACGGGGGCTCCCCCGTCACCTTCCTGATCCTTCTTTGCACCTTGAGGAAAACACCCATGTCGGGAGGTTTCTCCCATGCATAACCTGTGAGGCAGGAGCCCTGGGAGCTCAGTCAATACGGGTAGGATTGGAGGGGAAGAAGCACCAGCGACTCGAGGACGCAGAAGGCGCTTTCAGTCTGCCCTGCTGCTGCAGCTCATCTCACCTGAGACACTCAGATGATCTTTAGAAAGGGACATTTAGCCCCAGAAAAAGAGGGAATCCAGATGCAAATACCATTGCAGCAAGAGGGGGAAAAAAAAATCCGGGATTTAATTTTCAGCTATTAACCTCCCACTTCTCCCTTCTTCCCTCTCCCAATCATACTCCAGTGCCTCCTACTTCAGTGTGGGCAGCATTTGGACCTTGCAAGACAAATCCTTCCCGGCAGTGCCTGCTCAGGGTCCTCCCACACAGCCATTACCCCAGGCAGAGCTCTTCCCGGCACTGCTGTGCCGTGGTAGAGACACGGGCAGGGGAGAAAGGCAATCGCGCGCCGCGGCGGTGCAGGAGCAGGGGATGCAGAGCGCAGAGCACCGCGGAGGTGGAGGAGCTTCAGGGGGAGGATTCTGCCTATGAAGCTCCCGAGCCCAAGGAAGAAACCTCATGGATAAGCACAGCCCCCAAAGCCCCCTCCGGCCTGCACCGCTTCCCACCCGACGTTTCCAAGTCCGGG